CCCACCCCGCGCCGCCCCGCCTTGGCCACCGGCTACGCCGCGCCACCTACCTCCAACGCCCAGATTCCCTTGGAACCGCGCCACCCTGAACCGGCGCCGTCCCACCGCCTCCCAACTAGGTACCCACACTACCCAACAAGCGCCGGCGCCCCTCCCGCCTTCCTCCACCGTGCCGAGGTTACCGGGCGTCGAGGCCGACCAGGACCGGCCATGGCCCCACCTCCTTCTGGTTGCTAGATCCGGCGACACCCCGTGGCCTTCTGTTTGACGCTCCCTCTGAGGCGGGGACGGTCTCTGCCGCCCTCCCCTCCCCCTCCACCAACCTCCTCCGCTGGATCTAGCAGCCCCCGTCCCCCTCCCTCCGGCGCCCTGCCGCCGGATCCGGCCTTCCCGTCCATGCGACGGCTACCACGGGATGGCTGTCAGTCTCCCATGGCCTTCTCCCTTCTCTGTACTCACCGGCGGCTGCGCCCACAACTGCCCCACCATCCTCTTTGGGCCTCCTATGGTCTGCTCCATCAAGCCATCAGTGGCGGCACCGTGCAGTCCACTGTGTGGGTGTAGCAGCACGCCATTCCACACCATGCAGTCCTCCTCGTCTCCATCTGTCCCCTCTCTCCCCACCTCCCCTCCCCCCGGTCCATGGCCAACTCCACCACAAAACATCCCCTGTTGCTGTCCAAAAGTTGTCCACGATAGTTGATGCAGTACAGCAGGCTCTTTCTGCATCATCGACGAGATCCGCCATGTCTTCCCGACGAGCTGCCCCTCCTTCCCTTGCAGTCCAGGCGTCCCGGGCTTGAAGTGCACTAGGGCAAGTGATGTGGTTTGGTGCGTGTGGCCGTGCAGTTGGTTTGATCTTGCAGTGCGCTACAGCAAGCGATGCGGTTTGGTGCGTGTGGCGGTTTGGTTCCAGGAGCAGCGTCACCGACACCAACCGGAGGCCTTTCGTCACCACCGTGGTGGTCGCAGCGGCCCCATGGCCCCATGCGATTCAGTTGCCGCTGGAGTTTCCTGTATAGTTTGCTTATTTTTGCTTCACCGCCAGTAAATAGTCAAAAAGATTAGTGCACTGCATGCTGCTGTTGTTTGTTCTTTTAGTCCAGTTTCATTATTTTTGCAGAGAGAAAGACTACCAGCAAAAAGAAAGAGGAAACGAGTGCAGTGCATACCCGTTTCAGGCAAAAAGGCAATGCAGTGCGCTGCGGCAAGAAGCTTACTTTTTGCGTTTTCAGAATTTGGACCTACACTTTGGTTGCATTTCAATGCAGTGCGGTTCCAGTTACCGAAAGGCCTCAGTAAAGAAAAGAAACAGAACGTCGTTGTTCATTTGAAGTTCATTTTGTTGTTTATGAGAAACTCGGAGAGAAAAAGGGTACTGCCTATTGCATTTGAAGTTCATTTTGTAGTAAGAAAAATGGATGGTAATTTGCATAAGCAAGTCTTTGCCTAGTGCAGTACAGTTGGGTACTCCGTCGTTGATTCTGCTATGTACTGGATGGCTGTGTAAAAATAATGAATGGATATGTATGTTTTGAAGCTCACTTTGTTCTCTCACGAAGTTCGCCATAAAACTCCTTCGTGGTTCACTTGGTGTTCCAAAACAAAAGCACACCGGAAAGCAGCTCACTTCTCGTTACATGTGGCGAGTGCGTGTGGTTCGGCAATGCAAAAGAATTTGCATTATTGCTATGCATGTGGAGAAAAAAAAGACTATTTGTGTGGATTATTCAGTTTGTAAAATCTTTTCTTTGTAAAAGCAGTGCGCTCGGTGAATTAAAGAAGTACATTTTTTCAAACTATTGTAGTTCATTGTTAAAAACTTTGTGATTCGCTTTATAAAAATATGTGTGGTTCTATATGCCAAAAATTGGTAGTACACTTACCCGTTCATGTAGGCCGGTATCGCCAGTAAAAAAGGATTATTGGAAACGGAAAAAACATACAGTTCATTGTCCTCAACCGTGTAGTCTAGAAATGCCTTTATACGTTTTTTGAAAACAAGAAGAAAAACCATGCAGCTCGCTTCGATTAAGGCCGTGGTCCACTTCTCCAAAAACATTAAACTGTCCTCGTTCCTACAGGGTCGTGTGTTCAAAAAAAGTAAAATGCAATCGGAAGTTGCAGTGCACTTCGTCGTTGCGTGCAGGTCACTACACTCCGCCTCGAGGTTTAGATGAAATTACAAAAGAGAAATATTAGCAAAAAAAGTAATAATGCAGTTCCTTGTAGACATTGCAGTGCGGTTTTCAGTCTAAAGCAGTGCGGTATTCTATCTGATGCAGTACATACCACGATTTTGGTGTCGCGAAAAAACAGTGTGTCCGCATTTCGTTAAAATCAAAACTGCTCTTAAACCATAAAGAATTAGGGAGAGTGTTCTACATGAAAAAGTTGCGCCTCGTCGATATCTTTCCAACGGCGTATGATTTGAATCATTCTGACCAGCCGTTCGGGAAAATTTCGCGAAAAAACAGCCGCTGCCTCTCGACGTCAGCCGCACGATTTTCAAAATTAACTAAAAACTGTAAGGAATCTCAAAAACATTTCAAGATACGACAGTTGCGCCTTGTCCATAGATTTCCAACGGTGTATCATGCGTCTCGTTTCAACAAACGATTAGAAAACTGGAGCGAAAACAGTAGCGAAAATTTCAAAAAATTTGAAAAACAGAGTTACGCGATTTAGTAAATTTGAAACTGCTCTTTAACCATAACGAATTAGAGAAAGATTTATATATGAAAAAGATGCGCCTCGACGATATCTATCCAACGGCGTATCATTTGCTTCATTCCGACAAGCGGTTTAGAAAAAAACGTGAAAAAACGTTCGCTGCCACTCGTCATCCGCCGCACCATTTTCAAAACTGCTCTTAAACCGTGTGGAATCTCGAAAAGTATTCAACATGTAGAAGTTGCGCCTAATCCATAGCTTTTCAACGGTATATTACACGCCTCATTCTAATAAAAGGTTAAAAAATTAGAGCGAAAACAGTACCGAAAAAATAACGCGTACAGGTTTTTCCAACGAGAAGTTCACTAGTCTCTATTGCAGTGCTCGGCGTCAAGAAGATGCAGTGCACTTGCGTTCAGCGTGCAGTGCGGAAGTGGTTTGCAGAATAGTTATTCTGCTAATATTAGCAGAATAGACCGTCTGTATATATATATACACACACGTCTGGGCTATTCTGTTACCCTTTTTGAACTGACGGTTTCAGGTGGTTGTACTGATGTTTTCGAAGCGGTTGAACTGATGCTTTCAGTTGTGTTTAAAAGATCGTCTTCTTTAGTTCAAAAACTTTTTGTAATTTTTTTGTCGGAACGGAGCATATAATATATCGTTGGAAAGATCTTGACAACCATATTTCAAGTATATTGAACGTTTTTGCAAAATCATTATGGTTTAAGAGCAGTTTTGAAAAAACCATTTTTTCAAAACCGAAAACGTGAATCGTATTTTGGACTCAATTTTTAAATGGTTTGTCGGAATTAAGCAAATAAGATGGCGTTGAAAAGCTGATGAAAATCCGCATCTTCCATATATGTATTGTTTTTTCTAATTCTATATGATTTAAAAGTAATTTGAAAACGGTGAAATTCTGGGCGAAACGTATTTTCGCGATTGTTTGCAAACGGTATATCGGATTGACACAAATGACACGGCGTTGGAAAGCTATGGAAAATGCGCTTTCGTATAGAAATGTTTTTCTAATTCCTTACGGTTTGAATTCGAATATGGTCAAATTTGGTTTTGAACGCGATTTTTTAAAAAGTTTGTCGAAATATGGCAAATAATATACCGTTAGATAGCTATCGAAAATGCGAAACTTAGCCATGTTGAACATTTTCTCTACTTCGCAACCATTTAAGAGTAATTTTGAATACGGCATGACGGATCCTGCTGTTTTCTCGTCTGAAAAACATAGTAGTCATACTGATATATGTTTACGTTTGTACTGAGCTATTTTTTGTAGAGTAATTTGAATGGTTCCGAAAAAGGGTACTTATATTGATGCTTGCATGGGTTTGCACTAAGCGTGTTTTCAGTAACTAGACTTTGCTCTGTTTTGCTCGTAAGTTTTCAATAGTTTATTGTATCGTCGCCCCTGTACTTGCATGATTTATATCATCAAACTGAATGATATTTTTTTAAAGAAAATGTTTTTTTAATAAACTTTTTTTATAACGATTTTCTAGACTTCTCTTATTTTATGGCTTGTACTTTTCTCATTTGAATTGCATGGGGTTTCTTTTTGCTTGAACTTTTACAAGTTGAATTTCCGTCAATTTTTTTATTCCAAACGAACCACAATTTTAACTTGTACTGATCAATATTTTTAATTCAACCATTTTTTCTTTGTAGAACGGACGAATATATATTCCGAAAAAAGAGTACTTGAACGAATGTATGTATAGTTTTGTACTGAGCGTGTTTTCACATACTGAGTGTGTTTTGTGTTGAGCAGTCGAACTTTCATCATCGAACCAACATAGTTTATATAGCTGAACTAAAATAAACTTTTCCACAATAAATGTGATGTGCTTTTTCTTTGTTTTTCTTTGAGCATATATTCCTCAGGTTCATAGACGAACTTTCTCAAATTCCATAGAAGAACCGATAGCTATTTATGATCTAAACATATATGCTAGTAGTAATCAAACATTCCATACAATTTTTTGTCTGTTCATGGACATCAACCAAAATAGGAAGGAGAGAGCACTCGAACTGATAATTGTTTTCTATTCATACTGATCAATGTTTTTAATTCAAACCATTTTTTCCTTGTAGAAACATCAAACTATCATATACACTTTCTTTTAAAAAGTAGCAATCATATTATCATACACAGAAGAACTTGCAGCTGCTGCTATGTTTATGGATTGCATGTTTTCATTGTCCTCATTGCCTTCATCGTGTACTTCATCCTTAGCCTGCTTGGTATCCTTCATGCTAGTGATCAGCGTCGTCATCCTGGGCTTGCTTTGTAGGCATTATTCCCCAAGGTGCCACATCCTTACTCACTGTGCTGATGTGTTTGTACTTCCCAAACAAATATGTGAGAGCACAAAATAAAAAAAATTCAAACACTATTTGGTTCTAACAGGAATAGAAACAAACACTAAAGAGCATGACACAACCAAATTATCTCTCTCATATTAATTCATTGTCCATGGATCCATGTGCTGTAGCATGTGAACCCCAAAGCTAGCAATAGTAGTAGCTTCTCCGAGTAGCGACAACTCGAACTTGTGCAACAAACACCTACAAGTTCAGAACTTATGCAACAAACACCTACTTTTCAATTACATGCAGACAATTGATTAGCAGCAGTAAGTTGGAGCTGGGATGGATAGGAGATTGCATTACCAGCAGAGCTTCCCAGAGGTTTTCCTTGTTGGCAGCATCGCGAATGGGAGGAGAGCATTTGAAACAAGTGTTCCCATCTCGAACTTCCTGCAGAAGATGCTATTACAAGCAGAACGGTTGTAGTAAATTGAACTACAGCACCAGAGAAAAGCACAACGTTTCACACCAAACTATTTAGTTTCTTTCAGTCACACACTGTTTTATGTTATCCTCATTCTATCAGTTCTTTTTTACTTAATATTTAACCACCATCTTCTTTCCCTTCTCATTGTTCTTTTGCCAATTAGAACACTACTGTAGGAGCACCAACTCATATGTGACAGTGCATAGGATGCGAAGGTGCAGCTAGCTTTAGATTCGACAATCCTCTATCAATACAAGGAACAACAGCAGCAGCAAATCCCTCTCAGTAATCTCTTTCTCACTCACCTTACCCTATAGCACCAGCGACCAGGGCACACGAACCACCGGCAGCTAGCAAGCAACAACGACATTGCGGGCGGGGCGGCGCACTGTATCAATTTCATGAATTGAAATAAATAATGAACTACTAGAGCCATTTTCTGTAATGGCCTGATGCAATTACAGAATCATCAAAGCAAACTAGTTGCAAACAATCATCTCCGAACTTGTGACTTGACCTTTTAAATTACAAGATTGAAGTATATATGAGCTATCTAGGCCAAGTGGAAATTTTTGACTTAAACTTTTACCATTCGAATTCCCATTTGGGGTTTCTTTTTTGTTTGATCTTTTTCACGAACTTATCTGAGACGTCGTGGTGAACTTATAACATTTTCAATCAATGACCCTTTACAGCCACCAATATTTTCTTCTGCACTTACACCCTCTCGAGTCAGAACTGATACAATTATTTTTTAATAATTTAACTGTGTTTTCACTAATGATATAACTTAATAGCATTTCTTCTGAATAAGTTAACAATAAACATGATCATAAGAACCTCATTTTCTCATGAACCCATTTTCTGTCAGATGTGTGCATGTTCACACGTACTAGGAATTTGAGGCTACATTTGCACTAGTATAATCCAAAGGACACAAGTTCTGGTCACTAATTAACAACGAACCATTGTCCAACACTTCTTTTTTGACTCACATTAAGTACTAATGATAGTGACTAGCACTGCATTGTGTTATCCCCTGTAATTTCAGTATATTTTTCTTCGCTGGTCAACAAAAAACTCAGTACATTGTTCTTTAGTATATTGTTCTTCTCTGATTACTTTAGTTCATGTGTTTGAACTGAAGGAGGCTGCTGAATCAAACCACTGATTTAGTAGCATTTACATAGACGAAGCTATTTTGGGGTGGCGAACGGCAGCAGCATGTGGGCTGGGTTGTCGCGCACCGGGAAGGATGAGGAAAACGGCAACCCAACCACTATAGTGGAAATAGGAGCTCACGGTCGTGGACTGCTTCTCGACATGAACTCGACCGTCGGGATGCCACGGGGCTGGACTAGGGACGGTGCTGGACATATTGGAGAAGTGGCCAAAGAGCTTAGAGCAGCAGTGTACATCGGCAAAGGACTGCTCGTGCACAAGGAGATGTACTGCTCTCCTGGGATGGAGAGGCGAAGTGTGTGCCTCCCGAGCCGCGGCGTTGAACTGCTTCGGGTTGTGTCGTTGAACGATCCGGTGTGGTGGCGGTGAACGGTATGGGCAGTACGGCGATGGAGCCCCACCGGCGGTGGCAGGAGGCTCGACGCAATCGGCCTAGTAGCTGCGACGGTGAATTGCTTGGGACGGCCAGGTTGGACCGAAATAAAAAATTATTTGCCGAACTTGGACCGCAGTCAGCGGTCAATTTGGACTGAGAAGGATGTTGTGGTTGTGCCTGGGAGGAATAAAAGGGGTTTGCCTAGGCAGAAAGCCGAGCATGGTCTGGGGAAGAAGCCGTTTGATCCCGTTTATCCTGAAAACTGCAGATTATAGGATAGGACTATTATGCATCTGCCCACGATCCCATTTACTAGAAACTGGACCTGCTACTTCCCACCATTCCATTTTTTATCATGTCATGATCAAAATGGGTTTGGTCCCAATGTTCAGACCGGAATACTAGAGCGGTTTGTGATCTAAAAGTTAGCAACTATGGATCAAAAGTTATAATAAAGGTCCTTAACATTTGCCATTGCTTGAATTATTCGAGCACCTTCTGAGCGACCGACAATAAGAGAAGTTGTGAAAATGCTTATTGACATTGATTCTACTTCTATATTTGAAGGGCAAAGTACAAGAATAATAAGTAAAAGCAGGTTACCTTTTCTTTGTAAGATGCCACCATCAACAAAATGAGGACCTTTACCCACAGAATAGCAATAGCGCTTTGAAGTAGCCGATTACGAACCTTAGAATGTGTTACTAGTGTGTTGGAAGCAAGTAAGTTGCAGGCTGTCATTAATCTGGAGGTGTAGTAGCCTCTGGTAGCCTCATAAGTCATGTATCTGCAGCAGTTTCTGTAGAAATTCTGTATATAGCGTGTAGTTCCTGTAAAAATGTTAGATCATGATTTACTGTACTACACTGTAAAATCTGCACTGTAAGATAATGATGTACTGCACTTAGATAACGATGTATGCACTGTTAGATAATGATAAAACATAGCATCCTAGTCCAATCATGACTACTTTGAATGGGCTAGATTTTATCAACAAGGAGCATGTACCGGTTTACACATTAATTCCGTATACATTTGCTGAAGTTACCTTAGACTTGCATCTAGTTTTAGCACACCCAATAATAGTTGTACTGAGATGGTCAACTAATTGTACCGAGATAGTGAACTTATTTATTGCAAAAAGAAAGTCTAAATCATGGCTGAAATTTATTCTAAATCATAAGATTGATGGGAGTATAAGGTAACTTCAGCAAATGTATACGGAATTTTAAATTTCCAAGCACATACCTTATGTTCTTGTTTGTTGCCGGGCATGACGCTCCTACTCCTGTGGACTGACGGCACCGGCGAAGTCGAGCTGAAGGAGCAGGGATCACGAGCGGCGGCTGGGTGCGCCGGGATTTTGCCGCTGTAAGGGGATCCCAGCTACTACCAAGTCATTCCCGAGGAGCTTATAGAGGTGGTGCAGTTGGTCGCAGGCCATGTGTAAGTTTCAACTATCAGGTGTGCCGGGATTTGGCCGCTGTAGAGAAACAAGAAGTCAGAACAAACAGGAGTTATATAGGTTACAGATTTTTGCCTTCTATACTGACGTGCTTCCTGAGTTATATAGGGATCACTCCCAGTCAGTCCCACTGCTACCTGTGCTGCAGAGAACATGAATATAAAGGAGATGGTGACTCATCAATTTTTCTTTCCGATATATCTGAACTTACAGAATTTTCAAGCTTGCACTGACGATACTTTAGGTGATATATCTAAACTTTACAAAATTTTGAAGAAACTTGCTGCAAATCATTACTTATTTAGGTGATATATCTAAACTTACAGAGTTTTGAAACTTGCACTGACGATATTTCTGCACACACACCAACTATGCTGTAATTTTTCATGGACTGATGATAGATTACACATCGAACTAATACTATGTCTGGTACAAAAATTCTCTATCACGTAGTTGAACAGGCTCTCTTCGCAGTGGTGTACGGCCTGGGGTGGCGGAGGTGAACGGCCTGTGCGCTGAGGAGGCGGAGGGTGACGCCGGAAAATTAGCCCGCGACACAGCGGGGGCGCTTCGTCGGGAGGATGCCACACACGGCGTGGTGAGTGCATGATGCGGCAGCGCGAGAATGATGGGCCGTGGCGATGGTCAGGGTGCAGGGCCATGTTGTTGGCCGGCGGTGTTGGTTAGGGAGCAGGGCCACGGCGATGGGTAAAGAGCAAAGTATTTTGCAATCAACCAATATAATCCAATATCAACTAGTTGAAGTGAACTAAACTTATATATATATAGGGAGAGAGAGAGCTCACGAGGGAGAAGATTACAAGCCTTGCATCACCGAGTGAAAGCACCTTGGTGGAAGAAAGTTATAGTGATCCATTGATAACAGGTCAAACCCTCCTTATGCTTGAGTGCACTAGAACTGACAACAAACTGATGCTCTATCAAAAGTTCAACCAGGCCAAAATTCGAAACTGGCCAAACCACTAGTTGACAGGCAACACTACATTCTTCTCTACTATCTACTCTCAGTTCAAGAGTCGAGATGGACAGAGTTCATCGAGCCTGCACTATCCGTCCACACAAGCTACAGAGCCTCGAGAGAGAGTCTCAAATATCAGTTCACAGAAACTACAGATAATAGCAATAATTATCTATAATCATTCTTTCATCCATCAGCTAGTTTGTGTCCATGTTGTATGGAGGGAGCAGCAACATTGCATCGTGGCAGCCGCTGAAACCAGATCAGGGTTGTGGGAGGAGGAGGGGTGGAGGGACGACAGCCAGCGATGGAAGCAAGGCGGAGGTTCTCAACCGTGGTTGATGGATCGCATGGGGGCGCTGGGCTCGCGGCGGATGTACAAGAAGAACTAGAGAAATATGGTAGATCAAATACGGCTTAAAAGTGGCAGATCAAACGGTTTGTCGGATGGGTTCAATGTGCAAATTCATGTAAAAAGAACCAAGCAAGTTCATGTTCAGTAACATTAGAAGTTACCAAACAAACCTAAAAAGATTTCTGTACTTTGAAATACTTCATTTTTACTTCCCAAATACTTCATTTGTTTTGAAATATGAACTTCTACAGTTATTTCCTAGAACTTGTTATATTTTCCCTGTGAATTCCATGGGGTTTTTGTGTTTCATTATTTTTGTTTATCTTGTTTTCTGTTTTGTATGAACTTATAGGGTTATACATGTTGAACTTATAGACCAGCGGCGCTCAGAGGCAGGGGGTAGGCGGCAGCGGCGCGTTGGACTATGCCAGACATTTCTTTCTACACTAGATAGTGTATAGACATGCTGCCAAGGTCTCACACATGTTTTCCTAGAACAAGTTGAACTGAATATCTTTTCATTTTGAACTTTGAAAGAAGCTACAACTTTCTGCTGCCTAAATGTGTATATAATTTCAAGTTTTCCAAGCACATACCTTCTGTTCTTGTTTGTTGACGGGCACGCCGCCCCTACTTCTGTGGACTGACGGCGCCGACAAAGTGGAGCTTAAGGAGCAAGGATCACGAGCAACCTATGGGCTGAAACTCACAGCGAATGGTTCGACTCCAACGATATCAATGGAAGGGCAATGACAGTCAACATCTTATAGCCCCCTATTTTGATAAAATAGCTGAACTTATTAGCAATAAAATAGTTGAACTTATATGAATTGATGGAGTAAACAATAAGACAAATTTGGATTTCCCGCACTCCATCGATTGATTGAAAACAGAGTAGGTTCATTTTAGCAAGTCAAGATTCGGAAACTAAATCAATCAAAGCACACAGATGTAATCCTCAACAGCCATCATCAAACTAAACTTGATTTGCAATTTCTTCAGAAATTAGAACAAATAGAGGACAACCGAGCGATGAGCAGAGAGCCTCCTTACAGTGAAGAAATAGGGGTTGACGGGGATGGCGGTGGACATCCAGAACTAGAGGATCCTGAAGGACTCAAATTTTATTGTTAGTTCATTATAGTAATCCTAATTAGTTGGTCTTTTTAGTACTTTGCAAGGTGCCACATATGTACTAATTATAGCGATGTATTTGTATTGCCCCAAAACACACCTGAAACATCACAAGAACATAAAAAAGAATGTTTATTAGTTCACAAACCTATCAACAATAGTAGTCCTGCTACTCCAGTGCAGCCGCCGTTGTTGATTTTCTTCTAAAAATACACATTGAACTGCTGTAACAAAACATGGAGGAACTTTAAGCCACAAGATTTAGCAAGATGAACCACTAGTCTACTAACCAGAAGAACTGAATGAATTACAAATATTTGAACTTTTCCTAATGCTCTGTAGGCCGGACAATGGGGGATTAAAGTTTGTAGCAGTAGTGCTCATGGCTATATAGGGCTCCCCCAGGACAAGCCCTCGTGTATAAAAAAGCTAGTGGTTTAAATTCAAAACATGGACAACGCCACCAAACATTTGATTAGTATATATTCTCACCTTATCCTCCACTGCCTGTTTTGTGTTATATGAAGATGGAAAACATAAAGGCAATTGTACTTACGATTTGGAATTAGATGTACTAAATAGCATACAGAAGATGGACTGAAAAAATTGAACTAGCACAACCATTCTACTTTTTGAAAATCTTTTGAACTAGCTCTACGACAATTTTTTAAACTTACGTATGCAGATGAAGCGAACTTTTCACACATATATTTTGTTTGTAACCATACCCAACTCACACTCTCCTTGATATTGTGTTGAACTACTGTTGCATTTTTTTATGTGGAGAACTTTTTTATAAAAAAATATTGAATACTGTTTTCTAATTTACAACAATACTTCACTGTTTTTTTGTATGAATTGTTTTGTATAATGCAGATTTGAACTATTGTTTTCTTTTCATGAACCAATTACATCAGACTAATTTAGAGAATGTACTTCTTGGCCGCAACACAATGAACCTGCAGGAAAATAAGATTTGTACCACTTGCTCTCCAATTTCACTAGCCATGCTAACAAAAAACAGAATTCATGGGAAAAAATTCTTCTCTTTTCAAACATTAACACA